ATACATGAAATCCTCTAATACTGTCGCCATTTTCTGCCATATTAGAAGGTAACTATGAACCTTTACTTTTTCAGTTATCGAACGCCTTTTGTAAGGGATGTAATAATTTAAGTATCGGTACAGCGTGTTGTGAAGTACTATAGTAGAAAAGAAAAATTCCCAGGAATCAGGATCATGATAGAAATACTTCTTCTGAAGAAATATATAGGACCCTAAGCATCAGAATTGGACGTGTATGATAAATCTTTCATTTGTGAGGCTATAAATGAAGTTCTGGTTTTAGCACTTGTTTCCTTGTTTGAGTTTTGGCGCTTTTCTCTTTGGTTTAGTTTTTTCATGAGAGTTTTTGTTTTGAGTAGCTCGGTACTATTTCTTGCTTGTAAACGTTCTAGATGGCAGTGATCCAGATGCGGTGGCAAAGTCATTGCATAAGTTTGTGAACTATGTGAAGAGAAAGAAAGAGTCGGTGGTTGAGTTGCTAGTGACACTGTTAGTCAAGGTATTGTAAATCCAGTATATCTGGCCTCATCTTAAAGAGACTCCTAGTCCCCGGCAAACATCCAGTTTTTTGGCTCAATATGGTCTCATTTCATTGCAGCTATTGTCGGTTGAGAAGCTATGGGCCAAAGGACTATGTGCAAGTACCTATGAAGCCTCTTGGCTATCTAAAACATGGGACTCCAAAGTTTGTTGCATCAGTGCAGCTATCTTTCACTTATTGATATCCGTTCTGCTAAGTAATCTTTGAAGTGCTGTATTAATGGATTATTGTGATCTTTATGGGTTGAGGATTTCACTGATCGGTCTCAAAATGCTACAAGGATTGTCAGGAAAGCAGAAGTGAAACACATATTCAAGTGTATCCAGCATACTAACGAATACACTTCTGCTTTTATGGATGGCCTTGTTGAAATACCCACATTAAATTTTTTGTTGTTTGGACGTGCTACCCTCTTTAAAGACAGTTCTGAGACAAGAAAAATATAGAAGATGGAAATACAACCACTCTTCCTTGTGGAGATATCAAGAATCCTGAACAAAGTAAAGAAAGCCAGAAAGTAATTCAGTCAGCTATACCTTCTGAACCTATCACGACAAAAATAAAATGGTCTATCGAAGGTTGGGAAGGATTAACTTCAAAGAGGTACGGACAGTCAAAGGGAAAATGGCCTACTGAGGTTGGGAAGGAGTACGTTCAACGAGTTGGGGACAACCTAAGGAGGATAGTGGACCACCCTACTCACCTTGTTCCAAAGGAAAATGGTCTACCAAAGGTTGGGGAAAAGCATCTTTAGCGAATTGGGAACAGTCAAATGGGGACAATGTACCACCAAACTCTATCTTGACAAAACGGAAAAGATCAGATGAATCTTGGGGATGAACTTCTTCTTCTTAGTGGTTGGGAAAATTAGACACAAAAAGTTGGCCCAAAAGAAAGCACAACAATAAGCATGAACCTAAGGCTAAGTGGTGTAAAATGTAGACATGACGTTTGGGAGGAAGCTGAATTAACCATTTGGTTCTGGATTAAGTAGGTTGTGCGTTTCTAGTTGAATCATCTGCAACAACTTTTACATTCTTTCTAGGACATAGGGAGTATTTATTATGAGCTAGGTAACGTACCTGTCGTCATCCTCTTATTTTGGTAATGGTTCGTTAGGACATTTTTTACAGATTGACCTAGCAGCAAGATGGAATGTTAACTGCTCAATGTACATTTAATTTTATGTACCTTATAAACCTCAAGGAATTGAAGGAAAAATAGATTCTCAAGAAGCCAATTCTCTCTCTCTCTATGTCTCTCTCTCTCGAGATCTACTTTACTATGAAAAACAGACATAGTAGATTTCATTCACGTTGTTAATAAATGTCTCAAATAAAAGTTACCTGATTTGATGTGTAGAATTATTCGATACTTGTGCTGGAAAGAGGTAGAAAATGTTTGATATAATAGTTGAAAAGTGTACGATCTGAACCCCACACCATCATTATAAAAATGAAAAAAATCAACAAAGAAAGACAATCAATCAGAAAAGTTTCATCAAATTTCTATGACAGTAGAAACTTGATTCCAATAAAAAACATACTAAAAGAAACAATGTTTTTAAGTTCTAGATAAACTTAACAAGTCAATCCCGGTGCAGAAAGCATCCTACATTCATGCAGGGTTTAGACAATCTATTTAACAACATAATCGGATATAATAATAATAAAAATCTAAACTGTCTCCTCTAACAGTCTTAATATCATCGGCAATAGCTCTAGCGTCCATTGAAATACCAACAATCCCTCCTTTTGAAAATCCAGCACAGTATAGCCCATTCTCTCCTTTCCAATTTATCAATGTGCGATCTTCAAGGAATATTGAGCTATAATCCTGCGTACAAAAGAAAAAAATTGTACATTATTTGAGACAATGATGGTAAAATTAATAGTTTGTTATATTAGTAACTAGGAAAACTTATCTGCACACGATCTAGTTCATAATGATCTAATATGAATTTAATCAATTATGAATATGATAGGAAGGAATAATTTGAAATAAAAAATCCGCATAGTAAAGAACATGACTACATATATGCATGACGAAATGATAAAAAGCTATGAAACTTTAATCTTATATATACTTAACGGTATAAAGATAATTGAATTAAGAAGAATCATATGGGAAAAAATATTTGATGACTACGAATTAGAAGATATATTAAATCAAGAATGGTATGAAATAGATTTACAAGATCTATATTTAGATAATGAAAGAATAGAATGGTACGATTTAGAAATAAATTCAGATTAAAATGAATTACGAATATTTACAATATTGGATAGAAGCTATGGAAGATATAAAACTATTAGAACAATTAATGGAGGAAAATTTATATATGTACCAAAGAACCCAAGATATGTTATATCTAGAATATATCATAAATAATATTAAAGAAATATTCAAACTAAAACAATTATCGGAAGAATATTACAATAAATATTATTACATTTTACAATGAATTTCGCAAGATTAAGACACTTAACAAAAGAAAATAATAATAAAACCTTTAAAATAAAATACTCACCTACTACACTACCATCTACCACACTACCACTTCCATTAATTTATAATAAAATCTTTAAAATGAGTTACTCATCTACCACACTACCACCTACTACACTACTACTTCTATGACTTCCCCAACTACCAGTTCCGCACCGAAAAATGGGGAAGTCATAGAAGTAGTACTGTAGTAGGTGGTAGTGTGGTAGGTGAGTAACTTATT